GAGAGGGGGAAAGAAAGCAAGGCTTGCTTCTTGGAGAGGCTGTAGACTTGGGAGGGCAGAACCCCAAAGAAGTAGACACCCAATAGTCACAGAAGGCCATTTTCAGTGGAAAAGCAAGCAGGTCCAGACTCAGAAAATTTATCCCCCAGCAGTCAGAACCTGAGAACACAATCATGAGGCTGAAGCCTGTTCTTCCCAAGAGCATGAAAAGTCAGGAACAGACTACAAAGATCAAGTGATGCAGTAGCCTTGGGAAGCCATCAGGCAGGTCTCTAAAAGGTTACATGCAGTTATCATGTCATACACTTTGAAGATAAAACATCACAGAAGAAATAACAGTGAATGAGAGACAAGTCATCTTACTTAAACAAAAAAGGATAACCTCAAACCTGAGAAGAGCCATGCGGTGCAGAAGTCACACCCACCAACTACCTGGATGGTAAGGTGTGGGAGGCACCGGGCCAATAAGGAGACATGTAGGCATATCAATAAGTCATGTTCTAATAGTCTAAGTTTTCCTGAAATGGAACAGACCACCCAGGGGTTCATGGTGAGAGCTTCCAAAGTACCATGATGTCATGACTGACATATCTGTATACCATCTGTCTTTTCATCAGTCCAGCTACCAATATGGCATCATTTGCTATAAGGATAAAAGTAAATCTTGGGGCTAGAGAGATGGCTCAGTCATTAACACATGGCAGCTAACAACCATCCTAACTTCAGTTCCAGGGAATCCAACACCCTCTTCTGTCCTCCTCTGGCATTGTACAACCTGGGTACACTTACATACATGCAGGCAATAAACTTATACACACAAAGTAAAAATGATAAATAAATAGTTTTAAGTAAATCTTACAAATATAAGCATTATGACCTAGCTAAGGGTATTTGGCTAGGAGGCCTACCCCTTTTTATCCTTTAATTAATTTTTTGTTGTTTTTATGTGCATGAGTGTTTTGCCTGCATGTATATAAGTACACCCATGTCGTGCAAAACCTGTGGAGGCCAGGAGATGGTGTCAGATCCCCTGAAACTGGAGTTATGGACAGTTGTTAGCCGCCATGTGGGTACAGGGTATCTAACTTGGGTCCTCTGGAAGAGCAGCCAGTGCTCTTAACCACTTAGGCATCTTTCCAGTTCCCATACCCTGTGTTTTAAAGTGGGATTAATAGTTATTCAAGCATTAAAGACATGGTCTCAGGAAATGGAAATGATAGAGTTGGATATTGAGATCATTAAAATTAAAATAGAATGGTTCCAAAATGGTCACTTTTCTCCTTCTGAAAAGCAGCTGCAGCACCAAAAATCATCTTGGGAAGCCCTAGCCTAGGGATCTCAGCACACTTTCAACAACCAGCTTTGGGTTGTTTGTTCATCTGTTTGTTTGTGGGGTGTGTGTGTGTGTGTGTGTGTGTGTGTGTATGTGTATGTACATACATGTAGAAGCTAGAAGGGAGTATGAGATCCTTTCAAGTTGGAGTTACAGGCATTTGTGGGGCACCCAGCTTGTTACATGAGTGCTAGGATTCAGACTCCAGTCCCCATGATTACACAGCAAGCACTCTTAACCCCTGAGTTATCTCCCAAGCCCCAACCATGAGTTTTGGACCCTCAAATTCCTTCTCTGTAGCCTGGCCTCTTCAGGGATTGCTCAGAAGGTTTCCAGCCCTCTCTTCATCCACCCAGCACTCCATGGATAAACACTGTTTGATTAGACATGGGCTGACTGACAAAATGGGCCATTAAGAATCCTATTATCCCTTCTAGCAGCTCCAGATCACTGCTGCCTCCTGGTACCTCCCCTCTCTACCAGTACCCATTGTACCCCCAAGAAGGAAAACAGCTGTTTTTACCCAGGAAGGTCACATGACTGCCCAGCCTACCCCTGATCACCTGGTGCTTTTGGATCAAGGACAAGGCACTTACCCAACAGGAACAACCTTCTTATAGTTAGTATAGCTCCAAATCAGACTAGAATGCCTGTGGTGTGGCAATCAGAATTTATTGGAGACACTTATTTCAGCTCCTAGAGTTTGGCCAGAAATTAACAAATGAGCCTCTCACTCTGAAATCTTGTTTTTCCAACAGGATGAACATGCAAAGGAGGAGTCAGAGTAAGCCAAGGTTTGTAATAGTGCAATATGGGAACCCTGCTGACTGCAGGCCTGTTCTCTGCCCGGATGGTCCCAACACATCAAATTTTCTGCCATAAGTCATTTCATTCTCACAAACACCCTGGGAAACATAAGATGTTCCCATTTTGCAAATATCAAACCTGATGCTCAGAAAGGCCAAATAGCCCATCTGACACACCCAGGCAGTTGGCATAACTAAGATTGCCTGTAGTTTTACCTGACACCCAAGTCCAGGTTCTTATTATATATGCAGAACACAGGAAGAAATGGGAAAAACAAAGGTCACCAGTGCTGGCAATCTTGGAGGCTAGGAGGACCTGTTTGAATTTAATACAGAAGATGAGAAAAGGTCATATTTGGCAAGAGAAGTTATTTTCTAATCTCTGTAAACACTTGAGATCAATTAATAATTGACAAATGAGGAAAATAAAACAAGGAGAAAACATATAAAATGTAAAGCCTTTGGGAAATTTGGGGCCACCTAGGAAGGGAGGCTGCTGGGTGCCATTGAGCCATGTCCCCTCAGGGAACATAAACCAACCGCTTTGCAGTCAATCAGGGGCAAGAGTGCCTGCTTCTGAAGTCACCTCAAGAGAACTGCTTCATCCCTTGAATCTGAGCAGGATGCCATAAGCATCAACTGCTTGGCACAGGGGAATTCACCATTCCAGGATGTTTTTCATTTGCTTACAGAGTTATCGGAAGTTACTGTAATGGAGTCAACCTGCTTATCAATAATTAACTCACACACAGTTATCAATAATTAACTCATACACAGGGCTGATCAAACAGCTTCTGATTCCTGAAATACACATCTAAGCATGTCCTACCTTCACCAACAACTCAAAGAGAATGGCATAAGAACAAGCGATTCTCTTTTCCACAGACACGGCTAAGCACGGGGGTGACATTCTGGCCACAGCTGTGAAGATTGTTCCGTGCTGTAAGGTCTACAAGTCTCAAGCCCCAAGATATGTGATGTGTTCTGTAAAGAACTCAAGACGCCTTCTTTCTATATGAACTACAAGAATATGTGAGTGCTTCTCTGGACTCATGAGTACTCACAGCAAGCAACAATGGAGTCCACGCCAGCAGCATTCAGACACTTGATTTAAAGCACTCAAATATGAGCACGGGTCCATAGTGAGATTTCCTGGAGCTTATGAATACACATTATGGTACATTCCTTTAAAAAAAATTAAAATTAAGTCCAATGCAAATGGGAAGCAGATTTCTAAAAGCAGTCATATGTTTACATTATGTATTTAAAGACCTATAACCAGATTCTTGTTAAATGCCTAAAGGGGGTGGGGGCTGCTGATATTTAGGCATTGTCTTAAAATGAGTAAACAATCTTTTTCAGGGGTTTTGAGAACCTTTGTATTAAGGGGCTCTTATGAACTCTACTCACCTGGTAGTGGAATTGAAAACCAATGTAGTATCAAAGGCCTGGGGTTATCACAGGCCCTCTGATCATGGGAGCCAAGGCTCCGCTGAATGGAGAGAAGAGGAGGCACCCCGACTTTGATCAGAAAGTTCTCACACAAATCTCAGCCGTCACCATCCTTGGAGCAACAAGGAGGCTTTAACAACACACCCCAAACTCGCAGGCAGCTAACTAAGTGCACTTCTGTTTCATGTTTAGAGAGAAGGAAGGCATGAAGAACAGTTTTTCGTGTTTCTAAACAGCTTTCCCCAAAGATGTCACTTTGGGTCTTGTGACACCAAGAAGAAAAAAAACCCTCTGAGCACAAATCCCGAGCAGACACTGAGGTGACAAGAAAAGAACTGTTTCTCCAGGGGAGGTACAGAGTTGAAGCACCGTCCCCCTTTGAAAATAATCCCAAAATGTCATCATTTACAGAGGACTAACTAGTAGAAAAGTTTATTATCAGTATACTGTTATTACTTCTTACTGGAAAACAATACATGATCATAAGAAATCTGTAAAATACATAAAACACGACAAAAGAGAAAATTGCTACATAGAATTATGTTTCAATGGAGCACCCATCAGGTTAGAAGCAAGGTGCCTTCCTTCAGCTGGCTGGTGCTCTGGGCTCAGGCACACCAAGCAGCTTTCTCCTCCCCACCTCATCTGCTCACTGCAGCAGCCCCCAGGTCTCTGCCTGAGATGCAGATGAATATGACTGTGTCTCTCTCCAGAGGACTCACTCCAGGGAGTACCACAAGGACTATTCATAATGCAGTGGAGGAAGAATGAGTCACAGATGGCACAAACGTCACCACCAGAAACAGAACGCCCACCCAGTCACCACCTTGGAAAAAAACGAACACTCCCATGTTCTAGCTGGGTGGCCTGAGGCAACTCACTTGACCATTCTGAAGCCCTCCTATTCCTCTGTATTTGGAGGATGAGAATGTGCCTCCTTCATTCCACAGGATCATGGTAATGCCCCAACAACATTGCCCCACATGGTGCATGCAGTTCTGTGAGCTACAGTTAATAGAGATAACAAGTGCTATTCCCAGAAGCAGTTCTAAGTATAGGGCTACTCTGGGCAGTGTCTGGCAAGTACAAAGGTACCAATGAACAGAAATAAGAATGTATCACTGGGTCCCTAAAAGCTGAAAATAATAAGCAAATTCAATGTCTAAGCGCCACTATCATTTCCTAAGCATTCGGCCCCATGCATTACACGCCACATAGTCAAGATTTCTGGTTTTAAAACCCAGGGCTATGGGTGTGATTCAGTGGCAGTGTTTGCCTAGCATGTGCAAGGTAATGTGTTTCATCCTCAGCACTGAACACACACACACACACACACATACACACACACACACACACACACACACACACACACACACCACCACCACCACCACCCATTAGTAACTACCAACCTGTCTTTGTGTCTTGGGGACTAACCAAAACCAGTATTTTATGTTGAGGTTCATCACGGTACACAGTGCAGAAACAAAGAGATGAAGTTTCAAGTTTAACCTAAAGAAAAAAAAATAAACAAAATCACCATTTTTCTTTTTCATTACACCAAGGCAATTACGTAGTATGGTACTCTGAAAGAACACTGTTAAAAGTGAGGTTAAATTAGCAAGGTATCAGGAACAACACAAAGATGGAAATCTCAGACATCTTAATTTGGCAAAGATTGTTCTCCTGTCTCCCACCAACAACCGCTTCCTATAATCACCTGTCCATTTAGCCGAGTACAGATCAAACAACTGTTCTACTATCAAGCACCCTTAGGGCTTAGGGCCTCTTTCCCTTCCATGTGACTCCCACTTCCTCAGCTTTCTCAATCCTGGCCCTCCCTGGGCCTCCTACAAAGCAGAGAGCCTCACACCACCTCTCACGGCCTCCTCTGTCCTCCTAGCAGTCACTCAGCAGCAAAGAGCCCAGGCTCCTGCTGTCTGTGACCCTGGCTCTATCTCTGAAAGTGTCTTTAAAATGTACACCGTATCTGAGCCCACCAGGCTCAGCCCTGTCTCCTTACAGCCCTGGAGTGGAGATGTTGGCTCAGTTTAGGGCACCTATTTGCTTATAGGTGAAAGGAACGAGAGACTATAGCACTGGGACTATCTCCAAGTACCACATTCGAAGCCTTCTTTGGAGCCATCAAGCCCTTTGCTCCCAGCCTTCAACACAAAAGGTGACTACATTCCATTAGCAAAACTGTTTTGAAAACTGAGAATAAAAGAAAATTAGAAAAGAATGTGTCTGCCAAGCTAGGTAGGCAGGTTCTTGTAAAAGTTTACAGCAGACCCCCACGGTTACAGAGAACTGCTTCTTGGAAAGTTCCGGGGCCAGCAAACATCTTGGTACTGCCCTGTTTTGGACTGACTTTAATGAAGGCTCCTCAAGGGTCTCCAAGGTTTTGTGAAGCTTGGCTCATCTACATGATGACTGTTACTACGGCATTAAACACCAAGTTTATAGAGCATTGTGTCAACCTGGAAAGATGCTTATCTTAGACATAGTGCTCAAAAAACAATTTCACCCATGTTTTGAAAAGCAGGCAAAAATCAAAGCACTTGGGAGGATGAGGCAGGAGGATTGCAAGTTTGAAGACAGTCTGGCTTGCATAGTCGGACACCATCTCAAAAAACAATGCATACAGAAAATCAAAAAGAACATCAACATGTTTGCAATAGTTAGCCATATGCCTATGTTCCCCTCTGTCCTTTATCATATTTCCCAAATATATGTACTGTTTTATAACCAGAGGAATCAGTAAGTATTATGTTTTAAATGTGACAGGACAATTTCAGGACTGGAAAAAAAAGTTAATTATGAAAAGAAAGAAAAGTCAAGATATACTACCTCCTCAAACCACCTCCTTGTCTTTTTTAGTTTGAGAACCTCTGGTTACAAAGGGGCCAGCAATGCTGGGAATGCTGTGAGGAGGTCCAGCACCTTCCTTACATCAGTGTACCAAACGGCAGGCCCTGCCCCTGCCTCAGCCTCCACGCACACTGAAATGGCAGGAAACCAAGTGATGGCGTTTATGTAACGTCTTTCTTTTAAGGGGAGAAGCAAGAACATGTGCAATCATCTCAGCATTTCCATCCTCTTAAAACAACTTAATATCATTTAACTGTTGTATGTGTTATTAATAACTGATTTTATTCCCTCATTGTACAAAAGCTATAGTACTGTTTTTTCAATAAAGTGATCCTTAAATATGCGTGCAGTTAGGAGCAGACTGCAGAAACTTCATCCTAATAAACCTTGGGGCTAGCTCTTATATTTCACCCCCCTTCTCAGATTACTCCCTACCTCCCACCCTCCATCCAGGGCCTCAGTGCAGACTTCCTTCAGCTTACTAAGTGCCTTACCTAATGGAATCTTGTGCCTTTCTGCCTTAGGGCCACTGGAGGGTGCTGAAAGCATGTGAGGACAGCAAGCTCCTGCCGCAGTATAACACCCTGAAGTCATCCATGGGAGGTGGATTCTTGTAATAATGACTTAGTTATAAGCTACCATCTCCAAAACCTCAAGGAAACTACAGTTTATAACTGTACAAACCATTCACTCTAGAACAATCAGACCATGTTTCCTTCACCATCTCTGTCTGACAGAGATCACAACAATTTCTGGTAGGAGTGAGATCTTACACATCTGAAACAAATTTTTGTCTCTTTCAATGGATCAACCTCAAATCTAAAAGATAGTGACTGATGTAGGTACTGCCCATGATTCATATGGGGTAGTGAAAAAAGTCTTAGAAGGAACACAGTTGGGGCTGGGGAAATAGCTCAGTCTGGTAAGTACTCACCTGGCAAGCAGGAGGACCTGAGTTTGTGCCCCAGAACCCATGTAAAAAGACAGATGTGGTGAAGCATGCTAATAGTCCTAGCACTGGGGAGGCAGAGACAGACAGATACCCAGGGCTTTCTGGCCAGTCACCTTAGCCTAATTGTGAGCACCAGGCCAGTGAAAGACCTTGTCTCAAAAAACAAGGTGGATAGATCCTGAGAAACAAGCCCGGAATGTGTCCTCTGGCCACATGTACATGTGCACATACATGTACCCAAACATACTCATATGCCTGAGTATGCATACACATACAACACAATTTTAAGTTTTACCCAACAAAGTTTTCAGTTCTCCCTATCCTCTTCCAGTCCCTAGTCACATACACAGAATCTTATCAATGTCAAAAATTGTATTAGAACTGAATCAAACCTTAGAGATGAGTCACTCCCCTCACTTTACAAATAAGGAAACAAAGGTCCAGTCAGGCATTAAATACACTATCTCATTTAATCCTCACAGTAGCCCAATTTTAGATATAAGACTATCAAGACCAGAAAGAATAAGACACTTGCTCAGGCCACACAGCTAAGCGATAGATATGGGATTCCCACAGGTCATGTGGCCCTCTGCCTGGTACAACCAGGACTCACACTCAGGATTCCAGAGTCCCAGATAAGGGTTCCTTCTGCATCCAAATAGAATTATTTTAGTATTCCTCAAGAAGTTTCTTGTTTTTGTTCTAAATCTGAGACATTCTTTCTATAACATTCTACTTTCTGAATTAGACAGGACAGAGCTCTCCTCCAAGGAAGATCAGACATACCTGCTCCCCAGTGGGAAGAGGGAAAATCTCTGCCGCAGTGGGAGCTCTTTCCCTTAGTGAATCATAGTAAGCCTGTGCCGCTGCCTGGTGGCCCTCAGGGCTGTCCTCCAGGATATCCACAGGGTAAGCCTCTGCAGGAGAAAACAGGCAGGGGTGACATTACCTTGATTGTCATTAAAGGATAAGTTAATTATTTCTTCAAGTTTTTTTTTTTTTCATTTTGTTTTGTTTTAAGGAATTAACTTACCTAAAAATTATGTTCAGGGCTAGGGAGATGGCTCAGTTGGTAAAAGTGCTTGTCATGCGAGCATAAGGACCTAAATTCAATCCCTAAAATCTACATATTAAAAGCCAAGTTTGTAATCCCAGGCTTGGTGGGCAGGGGCAGGAAAGTTCCCTGGAACTTTCTGGTCAGGCCACCTTCCCTAATCACAACCTCCAGGCCCACAAGAGGCTTTGTCTCATAAAACAAGGCAGACAGTAGATGGCACTTGAGGAAAGATACCTGAGGCTGACCTCTGGTCTCCACACACATGTGTACATGAGCACACAAAGATCCATCCTTGCACCAATATGAAAGCACACAAACAAGCACACACACAAAAAGTCCAAAAAAAAACACATTAAATTATGTTCACCTGTCCCTCTTAAACTGTTTCAAAAACTGCCCATTCATACACCCAAACAACTGAATGACTTTCTAAGAATGTCATTCTCCGTGGTCCACTCAGGGATGGGCACAAGCTAAGAAGAGCTGGCTAGAACTTCAGCTCCCTTGTCACAAGCCAGCTTCAGTTATTGTTTTTCCAGATTATATTTAATATACAACTGCCCAAGATTCTGCCAGTTCTCCCTGTTACTGGGCTACTCCAGTAAAGACTGAGTGCAGTGACTTATCGGAACTGGAAGAAAGCCTATCCCTACATTCATTTTCAAGGAAACTAATTCAAGGTATTCTACAACTTGCCCTCAGCAAACCATTCCTATTACACCTTTGAAAGAAATTGATACCCTGGAATAATCATACAAATTGATAGCATCCAATTCTTGGGCACTATAAACAAAAATGCCACCTGTCTTCTGGTTGGCATGTCCACAAGTGCAGAGGGAATTCTGTGCCCCTTCTGTGGGCCACACTCCACCTCTATCTTTTATTTGCCTCTAAAGCTTTTTACCCTTCCTGGCCCCTTTCTCCTCTCCCCCTTTCCTTCCACTCCTACTTCTCCCCACCTCCTCCTTATCCACCTGTGTCTCCTCCTCACAAAGATTAGTCTGGACATGCAGTCCGGTTTTGAGCCCCAGTGGAATCTCAACATCCAATCCTTCTCTCAAGAGTGTCCTTGTTCTGGAAGCCTGTCTCAGAATCAGAGATGCTGTTGGCAGCAAAAATTGAAGCCTCTAGATTACTCAGCTTGCCCAGGAGGAATTTTACCTCTGCCAATTAACTACTAGAAGGCAAAGCTCAAAGGCATATACAGGCTGCCAAGAGCGATGGTCTTCCATCCACCCAACACTTAGGCCCGGTGTGCAAACATCATGGATACACAGATTGTCCATAGCTGAGTGAAAACAGACAATGTCCCTATCTGTGGGCTCTGCATCCGTGGATCCAACCAACCACAGACTGAAAATGTTGGGAAAAAACTGAGACTGCATCAGACACATGCAGACACGTTTCTTCTTTGTCACTACTCCCTAAACAATAAAGTGTAACAAAGGCCCATGGCATTTAACTGTATTAGGAATCCTAAGTCACCTAGAGACAAGAGCATCCAGGAAGATGTGCACAGGGCACATGCAAACATGCCATTTTGTAAGGAACTTGAGCATCAGCAGATTTCGAGCGGGAAGAGCTGCTGATTTCTTTAGTGGCGATGGATAAGCAAACTCTGGAATCCCCATGTAAAAAGATGGTGAGTCTACATAGCAAAGATCTCCTGTTGCTGAAGAAGGCACACACTTTGGTGTCCTCTACAAACAAAAACATGGACTCAAGGAAGCCCAGGTCCCACACCTGGCACAGAAGCCAGATGGACCCAAACAACATCAAACTCCTTACCTGGAGACCGCTTCAAATCTGTCACAGAGACAAATTCAGCCTGACTTTGTGTCTTCATGGCCATCCTGCACTTAATTCAAGGCCTTAGCTTCCCATCAGAGCCTCTGGCTTCACCATCCCACCCACCTGTCTTCTACCCACTTATTCTCCACCCACCACCTCTTAGAATTAACAATAACAGCCAACTTTCTGTGGGTTCCAGCTGCCAAATGACTGTTGAGTATCCACACTGTCTTTCACTGTATCCTTTTTGCTCCCAATTTACAGAGAAGGAAAGTGAGTCCTCATAAGGACACGGTGTACCTAGTAAGAGAAAGCAACAAGCAAGAACCTAGGCCTGTCTGATTTCAAACTCTGTGTAAAGCATTCAGATTATGCTAGTGCTTCAGTCATTTAAATCAGTGATCTCGGGGCTGGAGAGATGGCTCAGTGGTTAAGAGCAAAGGCTGTTCTTGCAGATGACCTGGGTTCTAATCCCAGCACCCACATGGCAGCTCACAACCATCCATAACTCCAGTTCCAGGGAATTCAACGCCCTCTTTTGTCCTCTGAAGGCACTGCATGACACAGGTGTACTTACATACATGCAGGCAATACATCCATACACATAAAAAATAAGTGATTTTCACTCTATAGTGGAGCACCCACTACTCTCATAACTCCTTCTGCCCCGCCCCCTCACTCTCCAGCCTCATCAGAGTCACCAACACTCCCCAGGACCTTTCTCAAACCCCAAATACCAAGAGCAAGGACTCGATGGGTCACTGAGCCCTACGTTCAAGTGCCACGTCAACCTAGGACAGGGATCAAAATGATTTGGCCAACTTTCTATTCTACTGCCCACCTATCCTCAACTTATCCCTCAGCTTTGTCTTTAATAGCACTCACCTCCTAACCTATAAACAATGAAAGAGGCCAGGGCTTGTGAAGCATAACTCAGGTCCCCTCTCGCCCTACCACAAAGACCCATCCATCCCCATGCCTTTTCCATAGGAAGCACTTAGGAAATGTGGGTGGATGTTATACCGTGATTTCCACTGAATCTATTTATTTCAGTGGATGTTCTGGGGATACCACCCGTGAGTTCTTTGAGGGGTTCTAAACTGCAGGGGAAATGATGTCATGATGGGGGCCAAGCAAAACACATTCATGACATTTGTCCTGACCACACAACGACCAGAAAGGATGCCAGGCACCTCTTGGCAGTGTTAGGCCCCCTTCCCTGCCCCTGGGAGCCAGGCCTCCAGCCTGGTGGCTCTGAGTGGGTGGCTAGCCCTGCAAACCTGATGAACACAGTGTCAGTTTCCCCTATAGGGCTGGTAGATAATCCTTTTCTGGTCAACTCTTGACCCCAGCTCCCCAAAGAAGACTGATAGTCCAGTCTGACCAGCATCTTTCCTGAAACACAGGGACAGCAGCAGAGAGCAAAAATCCAGGTAAGATCTCACGCTCCTTAAGCTGGTGTTCCTGGGGTAGCTCCTGAATCCAGCTTCCATGAAGACAAGCCTGTAGCAGGCGGTGGTACCTGGGTTGACGCACTCCACGTACTCGTTTTTCTTAATTTATTGGAATGTTCACCAGATCCTTCTGCATACCTGTGGGAAGCCACATGACCAAGTTCTTCCCAAGAAACCAAAGCTTGCTAGAATCAGCTAGACACCACCCAGCCTGCTTATCTTGGGAGTGGGATCTGCCTCCTGTTGCCCAGGGTCATCAGGGAACATAAATTAACAGGCCTAGACATCACACCACAGGGACAAACCATTGAGGGTGGCAATGCTTAACAACAACAAAAGTGACACCCACACTCAGTTCTGTTTTAAAGACCTGAGGCTGGCTGCAGACTCAAGTCCCCTGGGAAGTGTAGCCACCAAGCCAAACACCAGGGTACCCAGCAGCCTGGGCCCACAACACCATCGATCTTAAATACTTTGTCTCCCCTCTGAGGAAAATCCCCCCTCCCAAACTGAAGCGGCTTCCTTCCTTCCGGGAAAACAGTCAGGTAAGCCTTCTGGAAAACCTAGTGAAAGTGAAAACAAGAGCAGCCCAAGAGATGAGATGGGACTGGCATCCAAGGCCAGACTCTCCTCCTCCTCCATCCAAGGAGGAAGTCCAGATGCTCCCAACAGAACCCCTTCACCACCCACCTCAGCGCCCAGTCGGCCAGTCGGTCTTAGGAAGTAAACAAGTCTGGGATGTTTACGCATGCGTGCAGAGGCCAGCACAGGCTTCGACAGGAGCTCAGTTGCTGATGGAAGGCAGGCTCCCTCCGAGCAGGCTTCCAGATGTGAAATGCTAACTGGCTTTAATGGCTTGAACCGAACAGGAAATATTTTTCCAAAGCCAAAAGAATGTAATCTGTTCAGTGCAGTGCAAAATGCATTTATTAAAAAGGAGCACAGTTGAAATAACTCACTGCAGACTGTAAAGAAATTGAAATCACTCAACAAACCCCGAATTTATGAATTCGCTGGAGCTCTTGCTGGCAGCCTCACCCTAAAAACAAAATTAATGGTACATCTGAAAGCATTCTTCTAGGGAAAATACTTAAGTGATCTGGGATTTTTGAAGCAAAGCTAGAGTTCCATGGGCTGTCTGGACTCCTGTCACATGTCACCCCCGCTTCCCCATCAGCCTGTGGAGTCAGCCACTAAAACCAGTCCAGCAAGACCTATGGCTCAGGCTTTCCCTCAGCGATGTTGGGTTCTTCTGATTTAAACAGCCTTGCCAATTAATGAAGATGTTCACAGAGCTCACGGATCTACCCTTAAGCATTGACTTGGTACCATTTATAGAATGGTTTCTCCCAACACTACCTCAGCAGGAAGATTAGGAAAATTCTTTCATTTTGGCAAAGCACCATTTTCTCAGATGGGTCTATTATCATGAGAAACATTAGGGGAGATATTTTAAATTTTACTGTCCCACTCTTACAAATTTGGCCTTTGCTAAAAGCCACTACCTGGCAGTAACTACAGGGCATTATGTCATTGGAAAAGCTGGCTGTAATCTCTTCAGTTTTTAGTAATGTGGACTGTTGTTCTTCAATTACAGTAAGAACAATTCTTGCTTTGGATAATGTGGAAAAAATGTGAGGATAAAGAACTAAAGTAATACTCAGCTCTCATTTTTTATGAAATAGGAGTAAACAGGGTTGATCGAAACACTCTCTCATGTTTGCTTTCTGTGTTTTTGCAGGTAGGTGGTCTTTTCTTTCCCCCTTCATAAGTGAATTTTCTTCTAAAAGGAAATTATTATAGAAGGAATCCTTATTAGAGAAGAAATCTGCTCAGGTGGCTAAAAGACTAATTCTGGACTTAGTAGAGAGACCAAAGGCTAGTTTCCAGACAGAGACAGGACAGCAGAAAACTCTACAAGCATGAAACAGACAGATCTGTGTGCTCTGCACCACCGCAGTGGTGGGATACGGCCTAAAATGAGGACAGTCCCAAAGGCCCAAAAGCTGCTCCAAATACAGAACCCAACCCAGCAGGGTCTCCAGCTTCATAGGAGCCATGTGAGGTACAAAACAATTCAGCCCTTAGGGCTGTCTGTAAGTATACATTTTAAGGAAATTCATTCACAAAAGCAGACTGAGAGCTTCCAAAGAATTCGTCAAAGAACACCATAAAACCAAGGGTTATTGGCGCTGGAGAGATGGTTCAGTGGTTAAAAGCACTGGCTGCTCTTGCAGAGGACCTGGGTTCAATTCCCAGCACCTACATGGTGGCTAACAACCTTCTGTAACTCCAGTTCCAGGGGCTCTGATGCCCTCTTCTGACCTCCATGGGCATTGCATGACACAGGTATACTTACATACATGCAGACAATACACTTAAACACATAAAATAAAATAATAAAATAGTTTTTTTTAAACTAAGGGTTATTTTAAACTTGAAAGTGATTATATTTCATTTTACCTGATTTGTTTACTGGTGCTAGCAATTGAACTCATGGTATTGTGTATGCTAAGCATACACTCAATCACTAAGCTTTATCTGCAGCCCAATTGTGTTTGTTTAAAAAAAGAAGAGATTGGGGTTGTAACTCAGTTGGTTAAGGGCTTGCTTAGCATGTACAGATTTGGTTCACAGTAAAAATAGGTATAGTGGATCATGTCTGTAACCCCAGAATTCAGGAAGTGAAAGCAGCAAAATTACAAATTCAAGATCCTCTTTCACTACTTCAAAAGGTCATAAAAGAATTTTTTGTAAAGAAGGAAGGGAGGGAGA